AACTGTGTGGATCATAACAAATTATGGATAACATTGTGAAGAATGGGAATTCCAGAACACTTAATTGTGCTCATGAGGAACCTGTACATAGACCAGGAGGCAGTTGTTCGAACAGAACAAGGGGATATTGTATGGTTAAAAATCAGGAAAGGTGTGGGTCAGGGTTCTATCCTTTCACCATGCTTATTCAATCTGTATGCTGAGCAAACAATCTGAGAAGCTGGACTATATGAAGAAAAACGTGGCACCAGGATTGGAGTAAGACCTGTTAACACACTGTGACATGCAGATGACACAACCTTACTTGCTGCAAGTGAAGAGGACTTGAAGCACTTACTGATGAAGATCAAAGACTATGGCCTTCAGCATGAATTGCACCTCAACATAAAGAAAACAAAAATCCTCACAACTGGACCAATAAGCAACATTGCCATAAATGGAGAAAAGTTTGAAGTTGTCAAGATTTTCATTTTACTTGGATCCACAATCAACCGCCATGGAAGCAGCAGTCAAGAAATCAAATGCTATATTACATTGGGCAAATCTGCTACAAAAGGCCTCCTAAAAGTGTTGAAAAGCAAAGATGTCACTTGAGGACTAAGGTGTGCCTGACTCAAGCCATGATATTTCAATTTCTTCATTGTCATGTGAAAGTTGGACAATGAATCAGGAAGACTGAAGAACTGATGCCTTTAAATTATGGTTTTGGCAAAGAATATTGAATATATCATGGACTGCCAGAAGAAGAAACAAGTCTGCCTTGGAAGAAGTACAGCCAGAGTGCTTCTTGGAAGTGAGGGTGGTGAGATTTCGTCTCACGTACCTTGGACATGGTATCAAGAGGGACCAGTCCCTGGAGAAGGACATTATGCTTGGTAAGGTAGAAGGTCAGCGAAAAACAGGAATACCCTTGAAGAGATGGATTGACAGAGTGACTGCAACAATGAGCTCAACACAGCAATGATTTTGAGGATGGTGCAAGACCGAGCAGTGCTTCATTTTGTTGTACATATGGTCACTATGAGTCGGAACCAACTTGATGTCACCTACCAACAGCAACAACAAACTTAAATTCAAAAATATGTACAAATCAGAGTACAAGTGTTTAGGAATAGTAAGCATTCAAGAATTTTGTTGACAAAATAAATGCTGCCAGTTATAGTATTAAAATGTCTGTTATTTGTATTTCTTAGCTGAGCTCTTTTAAAACACATTAAAACAAAAAAACAAGTGGGGCAGAGGTATAACATTAATTGCATGTACCCTCTTCCCCGATTTCTCTCCTTATCTCATTCATTCAGCATCACAGCCTTAGTTTGGTATTGGAAGTTCCTACTTTAGCTTCTTCTTGCCTTCACTTTTTTCTTGCCATGGCTTAAGACTCAGAAGGGGTTATTTATAGCAGAAAGAATGTTTACATTGTTTTGTTGAGGGGAAGAAACAACGCCACGTCGCAGGATATTTTGTTTTCTAAGTGGCACCAACAATAAACTTCTAATGTAATAGGATCGCTATAGGGTCGCTATGAGTCAGAATCGACTCGATGGCAATGGGTTTTTGGTTTTTAATATGAAGATGCTTCAAATTGTATCTATTCAAATACACTATTATTTTTTTAACCATAGTTAATTTGCAAACTGGCTAACCAAATTCTGTATTATGAAGAGTTGCCTATATCTCTATGTACATATATAGAAGCATAGGCAAATTGCAGTTAGGGTGGACTAGCTTGTTTTTGACCAACCCGCCCAATGAGAACAACTAGAAAACCTGGATAAAATGAAAATTAACTCTTTGAAGGCATCAGAAGAGTACCAAGGTAGTGAAACGTTGAGGGTCCAAGATCTGGAGAGAAGGGAAGTATAGAGTAATGAGCCCAACATTTGGCATCATTTTCCCCGAAGAGTATTTGTGAATTTGCAACAGACAGCTGAGAGGCTGGGAAGCCTAGAAGAAGGTGTCAGAGACTGAAAGATGAGTAGAGAAAAGACTGAGAAGCTTAGTAGAGCGTTAGGCAGTTTAGTAGACTTGAGAAGGCAAAAATTAAAGTTCAGGTCCTGATAATGAGGAGAAAAAAAAATTGCCATCTAGTCGATTCTGACTCATAGCAACCCCATAGGACAGAGTAGAACTGCCCCATAGTGTTTCCAAGGAGCAGCCAGTGGATTCAGATAGCTGACCTTTTGGTTAGCAGCCAAGCTCTTAACCACTGTGCCACCAGGGCTCTGATAACACGGAGAGGCACTGGTAAACATCTAGCCTATTGGTTGGGACCCCTTAAACGCTACGTGCTGGGAATAAGACTGAATGGAAATAGACCAGTCCTCACAAAGACTGAAACACAGCTTCATAATATCTTCATATCAGGCTGGATTAAGATGATCTGCCCTTACCCTAACTGCCTGCCAGTAAATACTCTCTAGAGGAAGACAATATCATTCAGAGTCTCACATTTTCTCTCCAATTTTTATATACAATGTCCACCAAGTAATTTTTAAAAATTGCCAGGCAGAGCAGGAGAAAATAGCAAATAGTCAAAAATCAATAGAAAAGAGAGATGACAGAAACAAATCCACAGTACCTCCAGATAATGTAGCTATGAGACATAGACTTTAAAATATCTGTCATTAGTATACACATAAAAATAGATGACAAGATATAAAATATCAATAGAGAACTGGAATCTATAAAAGAATCATATAAAAATTCTAAAACTGAAAAACATATATGTCCACCTTCCTATCTACTCCTCACTCTGTGTTCCCTGATAATTGGCATTGACCTAAGTCATGACTTTCATTAAAATACTCACGTATATTTATCTTCTACTTTAATATACTCCTTTCCTAAAGGAGAATATTGAATGCTTAAAATAGAATTTTATAAAGAGTTCAATAAAAGCACCACATATGGCATATATTTCTACACGTGTGTTATGTTATTTGATTAATAATCATATACAGTGAAACCTATGAGAGCCGGAACTCAACAAGATTGCC